GCGGATCTAGTTCAGTAATCTCCCGACATATCGACTTGACCGTGTGGAAATATTGAGCAATCGTCATGTCACGTTCTGTCACACCCCGAAAATCAAAGGCGGAAACATTTCCGGGGTTGACTCCAAGTTGTGTATCAAATCCAATGTACATAGTAATCACAGTAAACAACCATTACATTACATATATATGCAAGTTTACATTTGGTTCAAAAGTAAATTGTACAAAAGTTATACATATATCATATGAACAAAACGAGACGAATCTTCCACGCACTCCGTCTTCACCAAAAGAGATCACTGGGTACCTGTCTAACTTGGACCTGAGAATACAAGCAGTTTGAAAATCAGCATAAAGCTGGTGAGTTCATAAGCGGTTTTGTTTTATGAAAATGTATCGGTTTCCTTTAGTTTTCCGAAAAGGCTTGTTATCCAAGAAAATCCCATATTTTCTTATGTAAGGTTAGTTTGATTATCTTTCGTTACAGTTCAGTTACGCTATATAAGTTAACCCCAGGAAAATCCAATATTTTCCTAAATGCAAGATTTATTGAAAAACACAAAGTATAGTTTAATATACAAAACTATATATTGAAAATCATAGGATTACTATCCCGAATAAGATATGAAATACCATAATATACACGAACTGTAGATAGAAGGTAGTTTGAAAACCTTGGGACTAACATCCCGAACTAGTTACAAGATAGTTTGAATAAACCATGGGATCACTATCCCGAAACTAGATATAAGATAGATGGATAAAGCCATGGGATTATCATCCCGTACAAGATATAGTTCAAAACCATGGGATTACTATCCCGAACAAGATATAGATTCAAAACCATGGGATTACCATCCCGAACGAGATATAGATTCAAAACCGAAGCTGTGAATAAACTTATATTAATACATATTGTGAGTCGGGTAACCATGCTGATACGACAACGAGACCTCCTTGACGTTTGTCAGACGTCGGACGATATCCAGAATTTGTCATCCTAGGCGTGCCCGGCTAACTGTAGCTAGCAGTTAAGATGTGGGATTGTCAGTCCCGAATAGATCTATTCACAAATTCCTCGCTCTCCCTCCAGGAGACTCTGGTTACACTTCCGGGGAGGATTTACTGATCATCCATAAAGGGTAGTGACTACTCACAAACTAGTACTAAACTATTCACAGGATTCTCATACGATATCAAACATACAGAGATTATGAAACATGATACAGTGAAAATAGATACATACAAAGAAACTATCTGGCAATACATTCAAATGATACGGAGATAAACTGAATCAGACATAGTTTATCTAATAACTTTATACAGATATCAGTACATGATATAAAGAGAAATATAGAACCCCCAAATTATTCCCATAATAATTTGATTAGTTTGGTTATTTTCTTAACTAAAATCCATTTAGTTGTAATTGATAAATCATTCCTTATGCTCAGCATAATACATAAGGAGTAAAAGTGTTTATAAGTTTGCCAGATATTATTTGAAACACATCAATGTTATAATTCGAAAACAGTTATAGTTTGCTTGTATTCCCCCCCCCCCCTGAAAACATTCAAAAACACGAAAAAGGGCGTAGGGGTATGAACTCACCGGACGAGAAATGTGACGATTTGGATGCTAAGTGTTGGTCCGGGGCTTGCAAATGTACAAGGTTCCTAAGTATAATGTAAAGATACACATTTGTATCTAATTAGGACTTAGATTGATTATTTGATAGGGACAATTGCTTCTAGTCGCGAAAACACCCCGATACAAGTGTTTGGAGGGACCCGGGGGACATTTAGGGACACATATAGTTAGGATATTGAATTGGGACTTCAAAGGAACACTCCTTAGGGAGTTTACGGCCACAATGACCCTCTCCCCATGAGTTTATGACCGTAAACTCATGGTGGGGTGAGTTATGGCACAACTTGGCTTGTAACACTTAAGGGAATTTTTCTAGGTTTGGATTAAAGTCTTGTAATGGATTTTTAACATCAAAATGACTTATTTATGGGAGTTTACGGCCTAGCATAGACTTCTGGCCGTAAACTCCTTAATACCCATGAAAATGGTGTTAAATGATGCTAAAACAAAATCACATGTGATTACTAAATTTATTCCTAGGCCTTTTATGGATTTTCTTGAAATTTTGGAGGGGTTTTTGGAGTTTACAGCCTATGAGACCCCCCTCATGGCCGTAAACTCTCTTAGAGAGTGATTCTATATGTTTCAAGGCCAAAAACTTGATTGTAAGGACTTCTAAAATTCATTCCAAGGCTTTAGGGGTGTTATAGGGGTTAAATAACACTTTAAAATGAATTTTCACCATGTTTTAAGGAGTTTATGGCCCAAGCACTTTCCTTGGCCGTAAACTCACAATAATCCTTCAAAAATTATGTTTCAAGTGTCCAAAGGCTAAACCAAATGTTCTAAAATTCATATCTAAGCCTTCTTAGTGTTTTGGAAGGGTTTAAGGTCACAAAAACCCCATAAATATGAGTTTACGGCCCAAGCTTGTGCCTTGGCCGTAAACTCCTTCAAATCCTTCAAAATTCATGTTTAAATTGTTATAAGTCCTTTTCATGAAGTCATTAAGTCATATCTAGAGTCCAATTGTGTTTAGGAAGGGTTTTAGGGCTTAAAACCCCCTTAACTATGAGTTTACGGCCTAAGCTTCAACCATGGCCGTAAACTCACATTCAAGGCTTTAAATCATGAATAAATCCCTAATTTGGAAGCCAAATATGCTATACATTAAGGTTAGGAAGGTACCTTAGGGATTTGAGGCCTTAAAATTGAGTTTTGGACCCTTAAACTTGGATTTTAGGAGAGAGGTTAGAGAGAGAGTAGAGAGAGAGGGAAAAAGCTTCAAATGAAAGGTTTAACACGTTTATATAGTTCCTAAAACTTGGACACGGTGGAATTCTACCCGATACCGGCCTTAAACGAGGCTTTAGGTCGCACCCGATTAAGTTTCCGTCACCCGGCGGGGACGTTTCTAAAACTTATGAAATAAATATTTTGGGCTAATTTCATGAGTTCCTAAAGGGTTTGGACACTCATTGGATGATAATAAACATATAACTTTAATTAACTTAACCCAAAAACGACATCGGGACGTTTTGATATACGACGAGTTATACGGGTAGAATGGGTTTTTCGGCGATGGAAAACTTTGGGTTGTTACACGTTGTGAGATTGATAATAGCTCGTTCTCCAAAAGTTGTAGTCTCGTATCATTCTTATTTGAGAAAAGCGTCACAAACGTGTCCCAAGCTTCTTTCGGGGTGTTCTCATCCCGAATATGCTCCAACATCTCTTCTTCGATTGTGGTCTTCAAGGCAAAACATTGCTTTGCCTGCTTTGATTTTCCATTTACGTAAAGCACCATTAACGTCTTCCTCTGGTGGTGTAGTTTCGCTTCCACCAACGACCTCCCATAAATCTTGTCCTTGAAAGTAGGACTTCATACATGTTTCCCACATTTTGTAGTTGTTGTTGTTGAGTTTCTTGATTCCTCCGACGACTTGGAGATCACCCATCGTGTTGGCAGTACCTCGGTAATACCAAACAAGCTAGTTTCAATACTAAACTTGCAGAGTCACAAACTACTCACGATACAACGAGAATCACTCATTCTCACTATCAAGAAACCTTGCTCTGATACCAGATTGTAGAACACAACTCTTAGTGTGGGAAGCAACAAGACTTTTATTAAGACGCTTAAGAAGATCTTACACTTTGTGAGACTACTATACACTTTGCTTTCTTTGAGGCTTTCTTGGATACTTGGATGTTGGGATTATTTGGAGCAAATGAGCTCCACACCTATTTATAGGTGTTTCCACCTCCTTATAGGAAGTTTCTAGATCTACATATATTCATGGCTATTCTAGAACTATCTACCATATTCTATATCTATTACAAGCTTTTATATGTTTCTAGAATGTTCTATAATGTCCTAGATAAGTATAGACATTCTTGTGTCTTCCATAGTGTTCTAGAATGTTCCATAGCCTTCCAGGGTCTTCCATCTCGTTCTAGAGTATTCTAGAATCTTCCAGCATCTTCAACACTCCTCCATAGTATTCCATAATGTTCTAGAATATTCCAGATCATTCTAGAACATGCTAACTTCTTCTAGACAATAACATGATTCTATTGGGCTAGTGATGACCTTCAACATAAACATCTTAAATATAATTTATGGTAAAGGTTACACAATTTAATGATAATGCTAGCAATGTTTCTTTTTCTTTTTTTAGTGACTCTGTAGAAATGACAATGTATTTTTTCTTGTTTTTACATTTTGTGAAAAAAATAAAATGAATAATAGTAACATAATTATCTTTTAAAATAATAATAACAGTATACTTATCTTTTATCCATTAATAGCAACATACTTATCTTTTATAACAAATAATAGCAAAATACGTATCTTTTTATAACAAATAATAACAACATACTCATCTATGTTTGATGCTATAAAATAAAGTGTAACCAGTCCATTGTTTCTTCATTGATCGACCAGACCATATATAGACGGGTATAATACTAGTTTTATTTGTTGATTGTTGTTATATACTCTTTTAAAATAAAAAAAGTTATGTACTTTTGTTATTTATATGTTTCTAATAGGATCTTATATTAATATCGATCGTAAAGATATATTAATAATTGTTATAAGTTGTAGATTCTGTTTATATTCTAAATTTATAAGTTTATATATAAAATGTAATAAATATGAACTATTATCTGAAATGGAATAAAAAAAAATAATTAAAAAGTGAAAAGTGAAACATTTACTTTGTAGTTGGTGGATTGTAGGGACCATAATCCCATTTTGCAAAAAGACAAAGAGGCAGCCTATTTTGACAAAGAAAATATAAAAGGGTCCTAATAATTAATAGAACTTGCAAAACTGCTCTCAACTGTTTGACTGAATTCAAAACTTCAATACAGAATACAACTGTCCTTCAAGAGAGGAAGAAACAAGATGGCATACGCACATGTCCAGATGTTCATGGAAAAGTTGAAGCAGCTGATATACTCTACTGATATTCCAATGATCAACAACCCATCAATATTACGTGAAAGGCCTCAATTCCAAATTCTTTATGAAGAGCTGGACTCCATGATCCAAATCCTTTTCAACCTCAAAGACCAAAATCTGCACAGCTTTGAAAAAGTCAGAAAACTGAAGAAAAGGTTCATAGGTGCAGCCGAAGAGGCAGAAGATATTGTCGATGTCTTTCTATCTGCTGTCCACTGTAGAAATATTGGATACTCCCCTAGATCTGATGTCTTTCAGCCCTCTCTCCACCTTGAGGTTGTTATGAGATCAATCGAGTCTATCAAGATAGAGTTCATGACCATTAACATCGATAACATGAAGATGGACTCTTCTCTGAAAACTAACACACTGAAAATGCAATCTGCTGGAACTTCCCGCAGTAGAAATTCATTCGGATCGAAGAAAATATTGGAAAATGTCGTTGTGGGGATTGATCGTGATGTTGAGATAATACGGGACAAACTTGCTGAAGATGGAAAGCATCTGGATGTGGTCTCTATTATTGGTATGGGTGGAATCGGTAAGACAACCCTTGCTAACAAAGTCTTCACTGATCCTTTTGTTGTTTATCATTTTCATGTCCGTGGATGGGTCACTGTTTCACAGACATATGACAAGCGGGATCTGTTGATTCAAGTTCTGTCATCCATAGATGATCAATTAGAGCTTGAAGAAGCAACGGACTCTCAGCTTCATAAAATGTTGCACACGAGCCTATACTGTCAGAGATATTTAATTGTCATTGATGATATCTGGAGTACAGAGGCATGGGATAAGGTGAAGTTATTTTTCCCTGATCATAACAATGGAAGTCGAATTCTGCTTACTAGTCGCCTCACCAAAGTTGCTTCACATGCAAAATCACACGGACTCATTCATCATTTACAACATTTGACAGAAGAAGAATGTTGGGAGTTGTTGTGTGAGAAGGTGTTCCAAGGAGATGAATGTCCCAAATGGTTGCTTGAACCTGGAATGCAAATTGCAAAAAACTGTCATGGATTGCCTCTTTCTGTGATTGTGATGGCAGGAGTTCTAGCAAAAGAACCAAGAAGAAAAGATGTATGGCTAAAAATTTCTTGTAGTGTCCATTCGTACATGGCTAGTGACGAGAAAGGATGTCTGGAAACAATAGCATTAAGTTACGACCATCTGCCTCTTCACTTGAGAGACTGCTTTCTCTATCTGGGAGGGTTTCCAGAAGACTACCCGATCTCCTCACCAAGGTTGCTTTGGTTATGGATGGCTGAGGGATTTATACAAGAAGATGGAAGTCGAAGCTTGAAGGAAATTGCCAAGGGTTTCATGATGGATCTAGTTGACAGAAATCTTTTAATTGTAGAAAAATGGTATGTTTCGGGTGATGTCAAAGTTTGTATAGTCCATGATCTTGTGAGGCAGGTATGTGTGGAAAAAGGAAAAGAAGAAAGATTCTTCCTGAAAATAGACTGGCCACCATCTAAACATCATCTCTATGAGGTAATTATCACACATAAGCAACGCCGTGTGTTTACAAATCAAGATATTGACATTATGAGTTTGTCTCATCCGCCCACCCCAAGTATTCGATTGCTTTGTTGCTATCATACCAAAACAACCTTAACTCACAATATCTCAAAGTTTTTCCACTCCTTTGCACTTCTTAGGGTGTTAAGTCTAGAAAGATGTAAATTGATTGATTTTGCCCCCTGTTTAGCATTACTAATTCATTTAAGGTACCTTGAAATTTGGCTGTCATCGTTCCCAAGATCAATATGCAATTTATGGAACCTTCAAACCCTCCTTGTTAGAACAAGTTCTAGTTCTATAATTTTACCTAGTAACATATCAGATTTGGTGAATCTGAGGCATTTATGGTGTAACGCAGATCTTTATCTTCCTTCTATTGGAAAACCCATGAAACTACTGGAATTTATTTCGAAAGTGGTGTGGGGAGAAGGGGTAGATAATTTTCAGAAATGTTTTCCCGGGATCAAGGAACTTACATCTACTCTTTACTCCGACAAGGAAAATGATTTTGAAGTACTCCATGACCTTCAAATCTTGCAGTTAATTGGGTCGGGCTACAGCAGAAGGAGATCAGTTGAGGGAGAACTCCCCATAGGTGAACCAAACTTGGGAAAGAATCACATTATAATTAGGTTCCCTGCAACACTGAAACAACTTTTACTTGTAAGGTGTGGTCTACCATGGAGCGACATGTCGATCATTCAATCGTTACCTAATCTTGAGTTTCTTGTAATAAAAGACAATGGCTTTGAGGGAACCTTGTGGGAAACAGGTGAGGAGCAGTTTCAACAACTGAAACTCTTGGTGCTTGAAGAGTTAAATATCAAACAATGGGAAGCCTCAAGTATCAACTTTCCAAGTCTCCAACTATTAGAAGTGACGAATTGCATTGATCTTGAAGAGATACCCCTTGAATTAGGGGACATCTCAACGCTTTCATATGTTGTAGTTGAGAATTGTGGTGCTTCTCTTCTGGAATCCCTTCAAAAAATACGACAGGAGCAAGATAATGTGGGAAACGATGAACTGAAGATCATAGTTGATGGAACTTATATTCCCTCCTGTGAACCCAATCATGACGATTAATACATTTTAGTCGGAGTCACAACTGACGCCATGAATGTTTATTACATAACTTGTTGGTCTGTTTGCTACCTAGTACAGTGTATTTTGCTATTCTTTACCCAAAATATGGTACTATTCAATTTGATTTTTTCTCTTATCTGGTTGAATCTTTGTTTTTAGTCAAGTCTTTCTTAGCTGAGCTAGTAGGGAAAGAATAAGGCAACTTGGCATTATTTGTCTTGTATGAGAGAAAAAAATCTACTCCAACAATCTGAATTAAACATCCGTTGGGAGCAAACGTTTCAGTTAGTTGTAAGTTTATTACTTTTGACTGCATTCCATCATATGTATCATGGATGACTTTCGCTCTTGTGTTGAGAAACTTGGTCTCAACGCAAGATAGTTTTTTTTTTCTTTCTAAATATTGAATGCAACACTTTGATATGCAAAAACAAGATGCCACATAATGGAATTTCATTTCAACACTTTTTAAATGAGTTAAATTCTTGATTCAAAACATAAAGCAGACAATTCATGTACCAAAGGCCAGGTTTGTGCAATGCCAAATAGCATCTTTTACCTGGCACGGAAAGGGTGTTTTTGGATCCGTTTAATAGTGTTTCGGTTTATTCGATTTTTTAAAAATATTTAAACCAAAATAAACATAAGTTGGTTTAAATAGTTTTGGATTATACAGTTCAGTTAGCCGATTAAACCATTTATAATAGGAGTGTTGAATAAACCAAATTACAGATAAGTTGCAACCCTAGTTTATCAATAAAAACACATGCACTCTAGAAAATTTGTAAAGTAAAATTCGACTTCCGTTTTTACAACTTACTAAATCTTTTAACATTTAAGAAATTGCAAAGTAACCCAAATACTGAATAGCCCCAACCAAATATAAATATTAATCTAATTGCTTATTCGATGCATGTGAAATACTATAAAATTACCTAAAACCGAAATGAATCACCCAAAAACTTAATAGCCCCAACCAAGTAACCCAAGCCTTATTTGGGTTTGGTGGGTTATTCGGTTTTGTTTTATTTATGACACCCCTATAAAACATGAGAATTAGTATTCATTTCTTCTAAATCAAAACTGTACCTTTGAATGTTTAGTATATGCATTATTCAAGCATGCTAAAATACATCTTAGAGCACTCGCAACATTTATTAAGAGGTTCATCAGCAACTACACATGTGTGAACATCAAATTGAGCTACAAGGGAAACGTGGAAGTTCATCTTCGTTGGCTTGTCCGCATTAATCTCATGGAACAGAACCTCTGATTACAGTTCCATTAGGATCCACAAAACCAATACATATAGTAACCATTCAAAAGTAATTTCATTTTTAACCCTCTTAAAATCAACATCTTTCAACAATCTACATAAAACCATATTACACATTACCCAAATAGTCCCCAAAGTCTCAACTTTTTGGTGTTAAAGAATTACATATATCAACTTACACAACACAAGACACAATAAAAGTGAGCAAATTCATTAAAAACTATATAATCACGGCATTCACCACTGAAAAGTGAAACATCCTAAAAATACAGTCCAAAATTTTCATTTTAAAATCGTTATCAAAACCATAAAGATCATCACCATAATATAAAATCATAAAACATGTATCTCAAAACATCATAACATCTGTCAATATCTCAAAATCTCATATCAAATATCAGAGTAAACTCTCAAGCTAGAAAAATTGTGGTGTGTGCCATGCGATCATCCCGAGCCTTTCCCTTTGCTAACTAAAGTACCTGAAACCAAAACGAAAAATTGTAAGCATGAAGCTTAGTGAGCTCCCCAAACTACCACATACCATACAATAACACATAATAGCACATACTGGGCCTTGCCCATTGCATCGGGCCCCGCCCGGCATCGGGCCCCACCCGACATCGGGCCCTGCCCTACATCGGACCGAAGTCCGGAATACATATCATAGAAACAAGCACATAACACATAAGCATATAACACATAAACATAATAAACTTCCTCGGGCTTGCCCTGACATCAGACCGAAGTCCGATACACATGGCAAATAACATATAAGCTAATTCTTCATCGGGCTTGCCCTGGCATCAGACCGAAGCCCGGAACATACAAACAAATACATGCAAGAATCACAAAGACATCAAGCATACAACATCCCTCAGATTTGCCCTGGCATCGGACCGAAGTCAGAAACATATAAACTGCATCGGGCTATCCCAGGCATCGGACCTAATTCCGGTATACACTAACATACATGAACGGGCCAACATTGGTGCCTTCGACCCGTTCCTACCGGAGGAAAACTCACCCCGCAAAGTTGTCTGTGAAATCTCGCTGTGAGGAATATCTGATAGCTGCTCCAATGTCTCCTCTGCTATCAAAATCACAATAATACTTAGTCAAGATCTAAAAATCCTTCTTAGGGTAAAATGACCATTTTACCCTTGGTCAAAGTCCATATTCTGGTCAAAGTCAAAGCCAAGGTCAACTTCCAGTCAACCCGACTTGCCGAGTTATCTGATAACTCATCGAGTTCTATGCCATCAAACCCATGATTGTCACACCCCAAAACCAAGAACGGCGGAAACGTTCTGGGGCGGGGGACGTCATGTAAAGTATCACAACACATTATAACAGTAAATAAGCAAACAACATCATCCATTGCATTAAATATATAATTTTAATACAAGCGTGTTCCGTACAGTTATAAACACCAAAAAGTAAATCAAAATAATAAGATGAGTCTTGAATGCGCTCCATCTTCTCAAAAGCTGGCTTCGGTACCTGTCTACTGACGACCTGAGAATACAAGTTATTTTGAAAGAGTTTATCAGCATTAAGCTGGTGAGTTCATAAGTATTTTAGTGTCGATGTTTGTATCAAAACGTTTGAACGTGGTTTAAAGTATGAGTTTGTAAACATTGGTGATAAAAGTATGTGAATGTTTGTAAGTGTTTGTAAAAGTTTGAAGCTCTCAGAAAAACCTATATTTTCTATTAAAAGTAGCCTTCTACCAAGGCGTAACTGTTTTGTATGTTCTTTTGTTGTAAAAGTGTGTAATTTTCCCAAGTGTAACTATCATTAACAAAATATTGTTTGTACATCAATGTTAAGTGAAATGATCACTAAATATATGTAAAGGGTAAATTAATGTAGTACTGTAGTGTTGTATTATAGGAACTACTGTTGTACTACCTACCTTAAACCGAATTTATATGAAGGTAACATGTGATTAATTGTACCATACTATCGACTAGGTAACAACGACAATGTAGGTCGTAATAAGGTATGGCGTTTGGCACCAGCAGACATGCAGGTCCGGCTGTAGCTAGCAGCAAGGTGTAGGATAGTCAATCCAGTATAGATCTATACGCAAACTCACGCTCTCCCTCCAAGAGAATCTGGCTACAACTCGGGCCATGACATTGAAGGCATGCTCTGATACAGTGGATCACAATTTTGTTAATGTATTCATGTGTATGTAATGTATTGTTACTTGTTCTAGTATCGTTGTATATGTTCTCTTTCTAGTATAGTTGTATATGTCCTTCTTCTAGTATAGTTGTATATGTTCTCTTTCTAGTATAGTTGTATATGTTCTCTTTCTAGTATAGTTGTATATGTTCTCATAGTAATGTAATGTATATGTTCTCATAGTAATAAGTACTGACTCATGAATGAACTGACTCATTGAACATCTCATTGATCTAGAAATAGTATAAGTATTATCCTGTGCTACCCCGATGGTAACTTACTAATGATGTAACTAGTACGTATGAATATGGAAGAACTTTTATGACTATATATGTACACATGATATATAACTAATATTGAAACGACCTTCGGACGGATACCCGATATTCCACCAGACCACATCTCAACGACGAAAAGGAAATAGGGTGGGCAGGCCTTCCTAAGCCTTTTAAACATTGCTTATATAACTATACATACATGGGCATGGAATTTATAAAAGTATAACAGAGTTTAAGTAAAAGTATTTGATAAGTAAAAGAGTTTATAAAACATTTTGAATAGTAATAAAATCATTGGTTTTGTAGTTATTAATCACATGTGATTGATGTAATAACTATAAGTATTCAACTTGTATCCCCCCCCCATAAAAGCATTTAAAACATTTAAAAGTATTTCAAAGGTTAGTTAAAGGGTATGAACTCACTTGTAGTGAGTGGATTGGATTGAAGTGTTGGATACGGTGTTAGGTGACAAATGAAGACTTGCACACACGCACGAACCTAGTTATCATATAATGAACAAATATATAACTAATTAGCCAAAATATAACTAATAAATTAAGTTGGGACACTCTAGAACTTAAAAACACTTTGTTTCAAGTGTTAAAGATCACAAGGATTGCATCCAAGTGCTGGTAGGGCAAAGCTAGGGTGTTTGGAGTTCAAGGGTAAACTCCTTTGGAGTTTACGGTTTTAATGATCTTTACTCAAGGAGTTTGCGGCAGTAAACTCAAGGTTTTACGGTCGTAAACTCTAATCCTTGTAACCATGTGTTGTTTTGAGGTTTTACAAGTCTTTTGAAGCACTTCTACTTGGTGGTTTGGCCTTTGGTAGGGACTAGGGCAACAAAAACACTACTTGGAGGAGTTTACGGACTCATGGCCATTTCCCTTTGGGTTTACTACCGTAAAACCTTATGGAAAAGGGGTATTTCCATGTTTTCAAGTCCTTAACACAACTGGTAAATTGGCTAGGTTAGTTTTTAGGCCTAAGGAAGGAATATGACCCATTTAAACACACTTTAGGGTGTTTACGGTTTTGGGAGCTCCCCAAACCGTAAACACCTAAAAATGGTGGTCTTTGGTGTTTTTCAATGCTTAAACACATCAAGGAAAGGTTTAAACATATCAAGGAAGGATTAAACATCAAAGTAGGGTTTAGATAAAGACTTAGGCACACTTTGGTGCCATTCTTGGTGTTTACGGCCCAAGAACATTCTTGGATCATGAACACCTCAAGCCTTGTGTTCTTGGCAT